ACATACTACAGTATTTTTATAGTCTTTATTTTACAGTTAAAATATGTGTTTATCAAATAAAATCTAATGATACAAATAATAATGGATCCCTTTAATAATTGCCTTCTAACAAACTTCACATTACAAAAACAAAATGAAAAACATGTCAATGAAAAGGATAATTATTTGAAACCAGAAAATGACTCAGGGCGCAGCATAAAGATCCAACATTCATCCACTTTCTTCTAGATGCCCAGCAGTAATTTGAAACTTACCTTTTAAAGATTTAATGTTTAAAGTGTTTAAAGAAAGCCACGATCAAAAGTAACTGTAAAGTTGTTATGGCACCATTGTAACTGCAGTACACCTTTGTCTTTTACTCCCTGACTAGATTAGAAAATAAGMCTCAAACAAACAGTCATTGTGTGAAAATCTCGAATCATATTTTAAGAAAGTCTTTAAATAACAGGTGCACTGCAGCTTCTGTAGACAAACTTTGTGTGTGTTTTAATAAAACAGTTTTGACTCACAGACTGCCTCAGAGAAAGTGTAACTAATAAGCTCTGAGGGTTTTCTGTTTCTTGTCTGCACAGCAGATTAGTTTTACTGCAAAATGAAGCTGCTGAAAAAACTAATTATCTTCTTACAAACTGATAACTGGCATGAAGCTAATTTCTGAATGATGTCCTACTTAACTGTAACTCTGAGCCAACAGTTCTGCAGGATGTTGGACTGAATGGTCAACTTGTTTTTCATCTACAGCAGGGTTACAAAAGTATTCACCTCCCTCTGTGTTCTGATTTTGTTGCCTTATAACCTGGAATATAAAGGGATTTTTGCTGGTGTATGTTTGATTTATGTATATTGCTTAAATACCAATTTTAATGAGGAAAGTATTGTATTCCTGAATAAAGATCGAGTTTCCTTTCCAAGTCACAGGAACCWGGTGTCTCCATCAGTCACTGTGCAAGAGGTGGGGGACACCCTGGACAGGTCCATTACAGGGAGACTGAGACAAACAAGACCTACAACTATTCATTCCTTCATCCACACCTGGAGACAATTTGAAGTTACCAGTTAATCTAATATTCATGTTTTTGGTCTGAGGAAGGAAACCAGAGTACCTGGAGAAAACTCAAACGTACTGCGAGAGTTGCAGCAGCTAGACTCGGGGTGCAGGCACACTCGGAGCCTAGACGACAAAAAGTATTTGTTAATGAAAAGTGCTGATGTGGCAACTTCAAAGAGCTTACAAACAAGGAGGAAATGACGAGCACGAGGAGACAACCGCATTAGCTGATGAACAAAGTGCAATGACAGCACAAACACTGAAGACACAGACCAAATATAAAGACCAAAATAATAAGGGTAAACGAGGAACACCTGGAGGAGACACATGAGGAACAGGTGAGCGAGGGTGGGGCTGGAGAATAGACAGACAGAATGGAACAACACAGGAATTCACAGGGAGCACAATAACAGAGATTACAACCTCTGACAAAAAGTATGGAATCA